TATCCGTGCATACCCGACCCCGACCCGACTTCCGGACCTCCACCCTCTTCACCTCCGGAGTCATAACCTACCGCTGCCATTCCGATACCCACCTTCGGTCCTGGCAACACACCTCCTTACCTCTCCGACCCTATCTCCGTCCGCTCCGATACTCATCTCGGACCGAACACCGCCCCTCTCGCCACCCTCCTACGCTTCCCCCGTCCGCTCCGATACTCACCTTCGGACCTGACTACTCTCCTTTCCGCTACTCCTTCTCCCTTACCTTTCCCCTCTCTCCTCCCTCTGTTACTCCTCCGCCACCCTTCCGCCAAGTTATGACCTTCCACCGCTGTCCCGTACTTCGCACTCGGACACCGCTCGTACCTTGCTCCGAGCCTCCGTCATAGTCCCTACCTCGGACTTTGACTCCACCTTGGTCTTAGTCCATTGCATTGGTGACCTCATACTACGTAAACACCATTGCCAATATCCCTCAGACTTTCAACCCCGCCTCCGTAACCTCCGTAACCTCCGCAACCCCCGAGCTTCACGGATCACCTTCGGCCCTCTCGCTGCTTGTAATGTATTTCTCGCGTTTTCCCCTCACCCCTATTTGGACTACTGCTTCTTCCTATTCTAGCCAGTTAGTCATCATCCCCACTTCCCCTCATCCTCCTGCCCCTCTGGGCCTCGCCCTCCCTACCTCCTTTCGGATGTATCACAGGTCCTGCCTTATGACCTTCGGTACCGCTCCGCTTCTTCTACCCTTTGTTCCCGTTCGGACGTCTTCGTTCCGATTCGGTTACCCTTTGTTCTCCTTGTGCTTTTGCCCCTTCCATTATATATATCGGCGCTTGTACATACTCGTTTTGGTTTAGTCCGAAATCGACCTGAAATGCCCCCAAGAGACTTCCTGCTCACCTACTGTGAAATTAAGGACCAAATGGACAAACAGCAATGGCACAGCGCTCCGCTTGAGTCGCTGAGGCCAAGGTCCCTCCACGCTAAGTCTCCGATTCCACTCCGGAGTCGTCTGTTTCTGCCCGGTTCTAACAGTAGCAAATTAACTGTTTTGTGTTTACACTTTGAAATCTGGAGTGTTAACCAGCTCTCCTGTTGAAATATTTACTTAATATTCTCTCCCTAATTGCTGCCTTTTACTACAGTGGCAATCTTAACTGTATATCACTTTTTCGCACTGGAGTGACAACCAGAAATGCTTGAGAAAAATAATACTCTATTTTCTTACTTCTCTAAGGGGGGGAGCGAAAAGTCGCAGAAAGGGTCTCCCTTTTATACTCCTTGGGTCACCTTCCTTTTTCACGCTCTACCTTCTATTTACAGGATTTATTTACAGTGTATTTTTCTCAAACTGAATAAAAAATGAAATTTTCACACTATAGTTCTACTGTGCTTTTGCTGCGCTGAACTGCGGTTCTACTGCAGTCAGACTGTGCCTAGAATCCTTATTGTCCTCCCTCACCTAAGCTATTTTAATGGTTAATTAGAACTTGGCTGCGCTGCATTTGCCACAGTTACCTATTTCAAATTCCCTATATATACCATTAAATTTGCTATGACTCGATGATTCTGAATTCAAACTTTGCATTACTATGCGTATGGCTGTGCTGAGACCTTCAGCTGATTTATTCCATTTTTATTTAGTGACATTTAGTTAAAATGAGACTGAAATGGTAAATGAGTGAATTATTCAGGTTTAAAACTGAAAGAAAAAGTTGCTAGTAGTCAAGAATTACTCAAACAAATGTGTTATAGCTCTCCACCTCATTAGAATATTGTTCCCTAAAATTCCCGCCATGGTCCGTCGTAGTTTAGTGGTTTTCGTGAATTTCGTTCATATTCCCTGATTCCCCTTTGTATTATCACATCCTAATCCTCCATATGTATTGTTCGTTGTTATAGTAGGTCGTCCTTGAAGATATCATATTTTTATGTATTTTATTTAGGACTCTGGACCTCTTGAAGCTGTTTTCCCACGCGTTTCCAGGTTTCTAACTTCATGTCCCTACATTTCTGGATGTTTTCTCACGTTCTTGGTATCATAAATTTTCATTTATTCCCACCTTTCCAATGGTACTAAGGTTGTGTCCTATTTCCTGGTATTCATTGAGTTAGCAAAAGTTCGCACGGACATTCGGTAATCACGTGCATTGTTCCCATAGTCGTTCGTATGCGGGCGCCATTTCCGTTTAATTGTTCGGGATTTACGATATGCGCAGGTTTTTATTTCTTTCATATGGGCTTCTGTGATTTATTTCAGATTTTTCCCTCATGATCTAAGGTTGTTTTGCACTTTCCATGCTTTGTTTTGACCGGGCTCTTCCTTATTTGGACGGAAGTTGGTCTTCGCGATCTGCTGAAGTGTGGATCTCGGTTCCGATGGCCGGTTCCTGCGCATCGCCACCCTCACATGTCATTACACATGATGCGGATTTCTATATTCCCGTCATGGGTATAACTTCACAACGGCTGGACCGTTTGGGCTGAAAATTTGCATAACTATAGTTCCCCATTTTTCATAATTTCCGTGTAAATTTCGTTGTATGTTTTAATTATGGATCCTACGCAAACATCGTCTTTTCCCTGAGCTCGGACTTTTGATGTTGCTATTCCCATTATTGGATATCTCATTAACGCATGATCCTTTTATTATGAAAATTTGGGAGGATTAAGATTAGATCCCTTCCTTTCTAATGCCTTATCAAGCTTGTCTCGGTCGTTACTGGTTAATTTTCGCGTTTGCCTTTTAGATATTGTCCTCGTTTTGCAGGAGTTTTAGTCATATCTCCGTCGTTTATGGGTAGTTTCCCCTGTAATTACTCTCATTGGGTCCGTTTGGGGGACATCTACATTTCCTATTATAAACACGACTTTGAATTTTGCATTAGTTCCTGAGGAATCCTTGTTCCATGGTACTTCCATCCTTGGCTACGTGTGCGGACGTGGGAAAGTAGTTTCCGTGGAGGTTCTCTGATTGTTTTTATAGTCAAATCTTGGTCGATTGTCCTAATTCTTGTTTTAATATTTGCTATAAATTCCCCCGGGAATTCCGTCTCGTTGATGGTAAGCTTGAAGTATTTTTGCTATTTTTCTTTCTTTCGATTTATCGTGTATAGTCATAATAATTCGTAAAAATTCGTAAAAATTCGTGTCCTTCTGTTTTTCTCATATCTACTTGTCATATGAGGTTTTGTGATTTATCTGGCATATTTCCATAATGGGTTTCCATAGTGTGACCGTTATTTCTCCTACAGCGGACGTGGGAAAGTAGTTTCCATGGAGGTTCTCTGATTGTTTTTATAGTCAAATCTTGGTCAATTGTCCTAATTCTTTGTTTAATATTTGCTATAAATTCCCCCGAGAATTCCGTCTTGTTGATGCTAAGCTTGAAGTATTTTTGCTAATTTTCTTTCTTCCAATTTATCGTGTATAATCGTAATAATTCGTTAAAAAATTCGTTAAAATTCATTAAAGTTCAGGTCCTTCTATTTTCTCACATCTACTTGTCATATGGGGTTTTGTGATTTATCTGGCATATTTCCATAATGGGTTTCCATAGTGTGTCCGTTATTTCTCCTACAACACTATAGTTCTACTGTGCTCTGCTGCACTGAACTGCAGCTCTACTGTGGTCAGACTGTGCCTAGAATCCTTATTGTCCTTCCTCACCTAAGCTATTTTAATGGTTTAATTAGAACTTGACTGTGCTGCATTTGTCGCAGTTTTCTATTTCAAATTCCCCATATTTACCATTAAGTTCGCTTTGACTCGGTCATTCTGAATTCAAACTTTGCATTACTATGTGTATGGCTGCGCTGAGACCTTCAGCTGATTTATTCTATTTTTATCCAGTAACATTTAGTTGAAATGAGACTTGAAATGATAAATAAGTGAATTATTCAGGTTTAGAACTGAAAGAAAAAGTTGCTAGTAGTCAAGAATTGTTCAAACAAATGTATTATAGCTCTCCGCTTCATTGGTATATCATTCCCTAAAATTCCCGCCATGGTCCGTCGTAGTTTAGTGGTTTTCATGGATTTCATCCATCTGCCCTGATTCCCCTTTGTATTATTACATCCTAGTCCTCCATATGTATTGTTCATTGTTATAGTAGGTCGTCCTCGAAGATATCATATTTTTATGTATTTTATTTGGGGCTCTGGTCCTCTAGAAGCTGTCTCCCTGCGCATTTTCAGGTTTCTAACTTCATGTCCTTGTATCTCATTCATTTCTGAATGGTTTTTCACGTTCTCGGTATCATAAATTTTCACTTATTCCCACCTCTCCAATGGTACTAAAGTTGTGTTCTATTTCTTGGTATTCATCGAGTTAGCAAAAGTTTGCACACACATTCAGTAATCACATGCATCATTCCCATAGTTGTTCGTATGCGGGTGCCATTTCTGTTTAATTGTTCAGAATTTATGGTATGCGTGGGTGTTTGTATCCTCAATACAGGCTTCCGTGATTTATTTCAGATTTTTCCCTCATGATCTAAGGTTGTTTTGTACTTTCCATGCTTTGTTTTGACTGGGGTCTTCCTTATTTGGACAGAAATTGGTCTTCACAATCTGCCGAAGTGCAGATCTCGGTTCCGATGGCTGGTTCCCTTCGCATCGCCACCCTCACGTGTCTTTAAACATGTGTCAGGGACAGCTCCAAAAGCGGCAAGGTGTCAGGACTCGGTCCTCGATCAGGGACAGCCCGACCTCAGGCCTAGGTGTGTGCAGTGTAGGGGTGCCGTGGTTCTCAGAGAACCGGTTCGAACCGGGACCGAACCGAGAACCGAACCATGCTGGAACCGAACCGTGGTTCAGTTTTGACCCAGTTCTCTGATGGTTCGGTTTTGGTTCTCTGGGTTGGGGGGAAAATGTGAACCGGTTCTGAACTGAACCGAACCATAGAACCGTAGGAATGTTGTCATGCTCCAAACCTTACTAGTATCTTATGTCTTGTTATTTAATGGAGGTACGAGATTAAATTAGGCTTGTGCGCACTCAGTCTAAACGCACTCATTGGTCTCTTTTCACGCGTGGCATTTTTCCCGGTGGTGTTTAATCTTATGCGCCGTACCCGCTGTCAGCCTTACACATACTGTGCCTTCCAAGGTTACAGTCATGCCAATTCAGGTTTTTGCCGCTGCATTCCTGGTTCGATTCTTCCGGACAATCTCATCCGTGAGTTTCGTCCGCCTATGCTACAGGGCTCTGGCCCTCTTATACCTTTCCTCTGCTGAAGGCGTGTTCTTTCTTAGTCTTTTCTTTTGTCCTGTATGCTGTTTTTTGACAAAGACATTCCTTCGTCTTCCTTGCTTCCAGTAAGCCTTTCGGTCTCGCCGAGGGGGAGGTGTTGTGACCTTCGGTTACTCTCGGTGGGTGGGATCCCGATTGCTTACTTAGGTTTTTCTAGGTTTCCTTTTTTCGGTTGTTTCCTTGCTCGCTGTAACTTCTGTCTTTCTTTCCTTATTGCTCGTTGTCCTTGTCGTTTGCGAAACCCTCCTCCTTCCCCGGCCTCCTCCCTATTGTAAATTAACCGGGTCGCCTTCAATTCCAGAGGTTCTGGCATTTGCCGGGACTGTCGCCCCGCTAATCGCTTGAGTCTCCTGCGTGCACACAAGACACAAATGAAAAATGAGAGCATGCGCATCATTGTGAGTCGCGCCATTCATCTCCCAGAGTGTTGATTGTCACAGACTATTACCAGTTTCTTGAGTATCATTCCATATATGCAACCCGGTCTGCTGCCTTCAATACAGCTGGAAAAAACCAGGGCGAGGGTGTATATGCGCTGCCAGTTGCCACTTCAGCTGATGAAGTTTCTGGTCTCTCTCGCCGTCTTGCAGCCAGCCAAGCTTGACGGGCTCAGGAAGTATCAAGCGATGATCCTTGTGGGGAACTTGAATGCTATCTCAACGACCCACTTGAACTGCCTGGAAAGGACATCCTCAACTTTTGGATGGTGAGCGGCACCAGTATTTTGTCTCAACTATGCTTTAACTTCGAACTTATCTATACTAATTTTCAGAAAAAAGGCGCTACATATCCTGTCTTAGCCTCCATCGCCCGAGATCTGCTCTCGGTCCCAGCATCCTCTATTCCATGTGAAAGGGCATTTTCTGCCGCTAAACACAGTGACACTGACAGTCGGAACCGTCTCACTCCCGAGCATCTCGGGGCTATTCAAATCGCGAAGGCCGATATGCAGCGTAACTACTTCAAGGAGAGGGAGGCAAGGAAGGCATTAGACACAGCAAAGGTCCGAGAGTGGCAGGGTTATGATGCAAATCTCATGATAGAACACGCAGAGCGGGTGGGCCTCATTATGGACACTTAGAATGTTCCGCCGAAAATATAATATTTCATTGAAATTATCACATTTAACTAAGTTGGTTCGAACTGTTCCAGAACCGAACCGAACCGCAAGAGAACCAAATAATGGTTCGGTTCGGTTCACATACTGGTTCGGTTCTGGTTTGGCATTATCATCAAATTTCGAACCAGTTCCGGTTCCAGTTCTCAAAAAATCGCTCCAGAACCGAACCAAACCGAACCGTGGCACCCCTAGTGCAGTGTTCTGGGTGGTTGGGCGTTAGACCCTGTCCTCAGCTCCTCAAACTCACTGAAGGGACTAAGTGGGGATTGAGTTGTCATGTATTACAGAGGGTAACTACAACTTGCCTAAGCGGGGATTGAGTTGAGAAGAAGGGTAAGTTTCCCTATTCCCCACTTGGCTACTATAAAAGGGAAGTGTACTGTACAGTTCATAACGTGACTCCGGGTAGAAGCCGAGCATGTTCCTGCGACTCGGAAAAGGTGTCACATGGGTTAAGGCGAGTTGCTCGCCTTGACCCACGTGATTTTTCCCGCAGGCTCACATGTGGGCTGAAGTTGTGAGAGATATGTAGGGATGGGGAGGTCAGGGAAGTGGGGGAAGTCTGGGAAGGTGGTTCTGGGGTGTGGTTGGGTGCCCTGACAGCGGGGTCAGGGGCCGATCCCTGACACAAGGTCCTGGTGTGAGGGACTCAATGGGACAGATGTTGGCTATGCGTAGCGGCGGTCCCGTTGTGGGGTGAGCATCCCCAACCACTTAGTCTGAAGTGGGAAGTTGTGTTATCATTAAAGGGGAGAAGCTACAGTACTTACCTGAAGTGGGAAGTTGAGAAGAAGGCTGCTTCTTCTGTTCCCACCCCAGGCACTATTATATACATGCAGTTGGGGTCATGTGGGAGGAGCCATGTCATCTCTGCACACAGCCGCACTTCCCTGGGTATCTCTGCAGGAGATCCCGGAGGTGTGCCACTCTGTGAGCGGGAATGCGCGCGGCAGGCGTGGCGATTGGGGGAGCAGGGTTAGGTGTGTAGTGATACATAGAGAAGGGGAAGTCGACCATGGAACAGAAATAGAAAGAAAGAAAGAAAGGGAAAAGAAGAAACGGGGAGTGATAGTGGGGGAGCGGAGTAGGGCAGTGCGGCATGGGGTCAGGTGGGGTGTGCCCTCACAACATGATGCGGATTTCTATATTCCCATTGTTGGCATAACTTCACAACAGCTGGACCGGTTGGGCTGAAACTTTTCATAACTATAGTTTCCTATTTATCATAATTTCCGTGTAAATTTCGTTGTGTGTTTTAAATATGGATCCTACGTAAACATCGTCTTTTCCCTGAGCCCAGACTTTTGATGTCACTCTTCCCGTTATTGGATATCTCATTGATGTGTGATCCTTTTATTATGAAAATTTGGGTGGATTAAGATTAGATCCCTTCCTTTCTAATGGGCTATCAAGCTCGTCTCGGTCGTTACTGCTTGTTCTTCGCACTTGCATTTTAAACGTTGTCCTCATTTTCCGAGAGTTTTGGTCATATCTCCATTGTCTATGGGTAGTTTTCCCTGTAATTACTTTCATTGGGTTCGTTTGGGAGACATCTACATTTCCTATTATAAACACGACTTTGAATTTTGCATTAGTTCCTAAGGAATCCTTGTTCCGTGGTACTTCCATCCTTGGCTACATGTGTGGGCATGGGAAAGTAGTTTCTGTGGAGGTTCTCTGGTTGGTTTTATAGTCAAATCTTGCTCGATTGTCCTAGTTCCTTGTTTAATATTTGCTATAAATTCCCCCAAGAATTCCGTCTTGTTGGTGCTAAGCTTGAAGTATTTTTACTAATTTTCTTTCTTCCAATTTATCATATGTAGTCGTAATAATTCGTTAAAATTCATTAAAATTCGTTAAAATTCAGGTTCTTCTATATTCTCATATCTACTTGTCGTATGGAGTTTTTGTGATTTATCTGGCATATTTCCATAATGAGTTTTCATAGGGTGACCATTATTTCTCCTACACTGCATGTATATAAACATAGCCTAAGTGGCCAGGGACACCCATCTGCATCAGGCCCATTGCTACGCATGCCTGCATCACACCCTACTGGGCCCTCAGCTCCGGACAATACACCTGGACACTCTCGACCCTGGGTCAGTCCCTGACAGGGTGCCGGCCTTGTGTCAGGGCCCGGCCTCAGACTCGGAGGCTCCCTGACCTCAACCCCCATCTGGCCTGTCCTCACACTATGCGGGGCATGAGATGTATAGTAAAAGGAAAGATAATATATACACTTGCCTATGCAGGGCATGAGATGAGAAGAAGGGTAAAGGTCTCATCTCCCCGCATGGTTGCTATATAAAGGAATGGGTCACATGCCCACAACTATACAGCTCTTAGAGTTGTGTAGTGTGACCCGGAGGGAACATCCAGGTGGCAGTGCCCAGTAAGCGTGGGAACGTTCTGGGCGAGTTGCTCGCCCAGAACTGTGGCTGTGACCCGTGGGAACATTCTGGGCGAGCTGCTCGCTCAGAAAGTTCCCACGCTATCCCGTGCGCGCGGATACACAACACAGAAAGGCAACAATGAAGGAATGGAAGGAAGGGATTGGTTGGGGAGTCTGGGGCACCCTAGGGCAGGGTGCTGAACCCTGACACCTTGGTGACTCCTCAATCCTCAGGTTGTCAATAATCTAGACTGTATGGAGCTAGTATTTTGACAGGGGGGGAGGAGAAGAGCAAGGCCCCTTTTCCCAACCCCGGATGCTATATAAGTACATACAAGTGTTTTACATTGTTTATTATGAAGAATATTAAAGCATAAAAGAATAAAGAAATGTGCACTTTGCATGCATCATCCATCCTCTATCCATTCCTTACAAGTGGTAACTGTCAGGGATGGTGCAGGAGAGGTGGGGGTAGCAGCATTGTAGGAGGGCACAGCAAGTACCACACAAATGAGGCCAGAATTGCATTTTTCAAGGCTCCAATGAGCACCCTCAAGCCTCCAACACATTCCCAATGCCCATGGCACATTTCCACATTTTTTTCAATTTTTTCCATGCTTTTTTTCTCAAGACTCATATTGCCACTTCCCCAAATTTCACTGTTATCCACCATTTCCCCCATATCTCCCCAATTTTCCACCAATTCACACAATTTTGAGCTCTAAGGACAGTGACAGATTAGGAGAAGAGGATGGAATGATGGGATGGGAGTTAGGATGATGGATACACAGTGGAGAAGCAAGATTAATGGTTGATATTGACCTTATGGGCCTCAATTATTGATTTTATTGTTACCTTGTGGACACCTTTTTGCCTTATTGTTTCTTAGCCAAGTGTCAGAGACCAGGTTGAGACGAAGGAGTGTCTCCGTGGCGGAGGGCTTCAGCCTCAGCGACTTATGCCAGGAGCGCTGTGCCAAGTAACACGTCCATGCCCTAACTTACTAAACTGGCAACCAGAACTGAAGGGGGTAAACTCTAGTCAATTTTATTACTGGGGTGTAACCTATGTACAAGTTGAGTATATATATAGTTACAACAAGGGTGGGCCTGCAAATGGCGGAGCCGAGCGGAGCAGAGCTAACAGGGTTAGACATTAGCCAATTGAATATTACTGACGAGTCAGGTTATGGGGTTAACGGTGTAGGAGAAATAACGGTCACACTATGGAAACCCATTATGGAAATATGCCAGATAAATCACAAAACCTCATACGACAAGTAGATATGAGAAAAACAGAAGGACACGAATTTTTACGAATTTTTACGAATTATTATGACTATACGCGATAAATCGAAAGAAAGAAAAATAGCAAAAATACTTCAAGCTTACCATCAACGAGACGGAATTCCCAGGGGAATTTATAGCAAATATTAAAACAAGAATTAGGACAATCGACCAAGATTTGACTATAAAAACAATCAGAGAACCTCCACGGAAACTACTTTCCCACGTCCGCACACATAGCCAAGGATGGAAGTACCACGGAACAAGGATTCCTCAGGAACTAATGCAAAATTCAAAGTCGTGTTTATAATAGGAAATGTAGATGTCCCCCAAACGGACCCAATGAGAGTAATTACAGGGGAAACTACCCATAAACGATGGAGATATGACTAAAGCTCCTGCAAAACGAGGACAATATCTAAAAGGCAAGCGCGAAAATTAACCAGTAACGACCGAGACAAGCTTGATAAGGCATTAGAAAGGAAGGGATCTAATCTTAATCCTCCCAAATTTTCATAATAAAAGGATCATGCGTTAATGAGATATCCAATAACGGGAATAGCA